CACCACTTATTTTTTTCCACTTAAAGCAATCAAAAACAAACCCTGAAAAGTTTTCTTATCAACATTAAATAAAAAAAAGGTTGTTAGTTACTTACAGCTTCCTCTTTTGGCATAGAAATACCTGCATATTTATGTCTGTATATCATTTGAATGGTTCCAGCTTCAGGACAGCCTTTATAATATTAAAAAGTTAATAGACTAAATTTGTTTAGCATTTGTTTTCTTGACACCTTGAGCCACTTGAACCACATACTCACAATCACAATAAAAAATGCAGACTGTAAAGCTGTCTGGTGCTTGTTCAGGGGTACACCTACATGTCACCAGAAAGACAGAATCTAATCCGAAACTCTCAGATTGCAAAAAGAAACACCTCTTTCTTCCACTGAGTCACAGTGCAGCTTTCAGATGTGTCTCTGCTTTGACAAACCTGAACTATGTAACAGCAACTTTAGCAAAGGTCAGCAGAAGTTAATATCATTTTAGGGAGCTGAGCGAGGCACTCAAGGACTCTTATGAGTTTTAATTGATGTTTACATAACACTGACTTTTCTATGTATTTATTAAATAATAAGATAAAAAGATATCTTAGAACACGTCCTAAATCAAGGTATACCTTTTGCTTTATAAAAGTAATTATTTTATTTTCTTTACAGATATATGATTCCCTTCCTATTAGCCGAAACCTTCCACTGCCATTCAGAAAAGCCTTTAAAAATGCAGAGGTAAAGGCTATGTTTTTCTAACAAATAAATAAATAATGTATTCACACATGTTCATGTATATTTGTTTTGGTTTTTCTCATCAATTTAAGATATTTTGTAGGACTATTTGGAATCTTTCTAAAAGTTGACTAAATCTGTATCTAATCATTCAATATCTTAAACCATGTAAACTGTCAGCTCAGAAACTAAATGCATAAAGTTTGTACAACATGACGTTTGCTGACTGAAAATGTTTGGCAATTACTTTATGTACTTTAATTTACAAAAATCCTTATACACTCAACAAAAATATAAACGCAACACTTTTGGTTTTTAATGAGATAAACTTGAAGATCTAAAACTTTTCCACATACACAATTTAACAATTTCCCTTGAATATTTTTCGCAAACCAGACTAAATCTGTGAAAGTAGGCACTTCTCCTTTGCTGAGATAATCCAACCCTCTTCACAGGTTTGCCTTTGACTGCCCACCATAAAAGGCCACTCTGAAACGTGCAATTGGTATGCTTGCAGCAGAAATGTCAACCAGAGCTGTTGCTCTTGTATTGAATGTTCATTTCTCTAGCATGATCTGTCTCCAAAGGCATTTCAGAGAATTTGGCTGTACAACCAACCAGCCTCAAAACCGCAGACCACATGTATCCATACCAGCCCAGGACGTCCACATCCAGCATGTTCACCTCCAAGATCATCTGAGACCAGTCACTCAGACAGCTGCTGAAACAATAGATTTGCATAACCAAAGAATTTCTGCACAACTGTCAGAAATCGTCCAAGGGAAGCTCATTTGCATGCTCGTCACCTTCATTGGGGTCTCCCCCTGACTCCAGTTTGTCGTCCTAACCAACTTGAGTGGGAAAATGCTCAAATTCGCTGGTGTCTGGCACATTGGAGATGTGTTCTCTTCACAGATGAATACCAGTTTACACTGTTAAGGAATGATGGCAGACAGTGTGGCAGTGCATTTTATAGATGGAATTTTGAATGCACAGAGATACCGTGACGAGATCCTGAGACCCATTCTTGTGCCATACCTCTAAGAGCATAACCTCATGTTGCAGCAGCACAATGCATGGTCCCATGTTGCAAGGATCTGTTCACAATTCTTGTCAGCTGATAGCATCACAGACTGCAAGGCTGGCATACTCACCGGACATGTCACCCATTCAGCATGTTTGGGATCCTCTTGATCAGTAAATATGAAAGCATGTTCCAGTTCCTGACAATATCCAGTAACTTTGCACAGCCATTGAAGAGGAGTGGACCAACATTCCAAAGGCCAAAATTGACAACCTGATCAATGAGGGCAATCTAAGGCACACCGGGCCACTAACCATAGCGTCTAATCAGAATCTTGGTATGGCACACCTGTGAAGTGGGAGGTATTATCTCAGCTAAGGAGAAGTGCTCACTATTACAGATTTAGACTGGTTTGTGAACTATATATGAGGGAAATGGTTATATTGTGTATGTGGAAAAGGTTTTAGATCTTTGAGTTCATCGCATAGAAGAGGAGAGCAAACCCAAAAGTGTTGCGTTTATATTTTTGTTGAGTGTATACAAATTATTTTCCCTAGATTTGTGAAAACCATGTTTTCCGCTTGGTGAATGAGTTCAAGAAGACCAGAGTACCTGGCGAGCCTCGACACTTTGTTGACTGTTATCTGGATGAACTGGAAAAGGTTTGCAAAATGGAAAAAGTTGTCTCACATGTTAGACCTGCTAGAATTGTTTTTTATTCAGACTTTTAGGAAAGACCATTTTGCTCAAATTCCAGCTTAAATGAGGAGGACTGTGTTCTTCACCTCTAGTAGTGCTTGCAATAAAGTTGTTAATGGATTTTTTTGCCTTGGTGTAATCAGATAAAATGAGCCAGTAATCCTAAGATGTTCTCTTTACAGAGAGGCGATGATGCTTCTTCCTTTTCAGAAGAACAGCTCATAACGTACAGCCTAGATCTTCATTTTGCTGGGACTGACACTACCTCCAACACCCTGCTTACAGGATTTCTTTACCTGATGAACTACCCACATGTTCAAGGTATGTTTAGATTACGATTTTGTCTTTCTGTTCAGTTAGAGCAAATCAGCTGTTTTTCCCTTTTTTACAGATTACAGACAAGAAAAGCAGACAAAAAAAGCAGCACCCCTGCTTTTTTGTCTGCTTTTCTTGGGATAGTTATAAAAGCTTTTCTTGGGATAGTTATAAAGGCTTTTCTTGGGAAAGGTATAAAGGAGGAAAACATGACATAAGGAGAAGAGTGGAGATGAAGCCTAAAAACAAAAAAATTCAAATGCAATTTTAAATGAGACACAAAACTATCCATTGATAACTTTATAGTTGTGCAGATAAACATAGGCTATACATATACATGTGCTCTAACAGACTCAACAGTATACAGATATACGTAATGCGTAAAAACAGAGCAGGAGGTTTTTCCAAGCAAACCTAGTTGCCTTCAGAAATTTCTGATGTGAATAGAGACCCATTGAAAGAGCACAGTACAGATCTAGGTCAGTCCAGGGCCTTGATCCTTAGATCCTGCATAAGCTGGCCACCAGAGAAAAGCAAGTCTATCCCTAAAGCACACCATCCACATGCTGAGTCACTGCTGAGCAAAGAAATTAGCAAACACCAAGCAGCCAGCTGACCTACATTCCCCTAAAGAAAAGAGAATTAGGGAGGTAAAAAGTCTTATAATCTTTGGCATTTTACTCTTTCAGAACGATGTCAGCTAGAGATAGACCAGGTCCTGGAGGGAAAAGATCGGGTCACTTATGAGGACAGAAACAACATGCCTTATGTCCAGGTATCATCACATTAAAATATGATTACCTGCAAATTGTTTTTTCTTCTGTGTTTCACTTTGCATGTACCCCTTTATTGTTCAATAGTATTACATTTATACAGATACAGTCTTTTTACTTTCAAATTAATTTAATGTAATAGTTAAAATCCCCAAGATACATTTTATCCTTCAAGTCAGATTAATTGTATGAAATTTTTCCTCATCCAGGCTGTGATCCATGAAATTCAGAGGATTGCCAACACAGTTCCTCTCAGTGTTTTTCACTGTACAACTAAAGACACAGAGCTCATGGGATACTCCATTCCCAAGGTTTGAGAGCAGAGGTTCTTGATTATTTTTTGTTATCCATAGGGAATCTGAATTTGATTTTATTTTTTTTCCTCTTCAGGGTACAATGATCATCCAGAACTTGAACTCAGTACTGAGGGAGGAAGGACAGTGGAAATTTCCTCATGAATTTAACCCTGAAAACTTCTTAAATGAACAGGGAGAGTTTGTCAAACCTGAGGCTTTCATGCCCTTCTCTGCAGGTAAACACATGCAGAATGGATGAGGTAACCAGCCTGTACCATTGCTTTGATTAACAGATTTTGTGTCACAGGTCCCAGGATGTGTCTTGGAGAGGGTCTAGCTCGTATGGAGCTTTTCCTTATTATGGTGACTCTGCTGAAGAAGTTTAAGTTCATCTGGCCAGAGGATGCAGGGGAACCAGACTTTACACCAGTGTATGGAGTCACTTTGACACCCAAACCCTACCATATGAAGGTCCAACTGCGGTCAGAGCAATGAAGAGAAACAGCTTCGGAATAAGAAGGAGATACTTTGGGGGGAAAAAAAATTTCATGTCATTGATGTCATTTTGAACCACCATTACGATCAAATAGATATTTTTAAGACCGCTGTTGCTAACTTCTATGTCATTAAGTTGTCTGTAAATTCAAACTCAAGATGGTATTGTATTAATAATTAAAGCCTTTCAATAGAGAATGATTTTAAACCTAGTTCAGCAAATAAAGATAATTAAGAAAAAAAAACTTCTTTTAAATTGAGTCAAAATGTGTTTTAAAAGTGCCAGTAAATAAAAAAAAACAAGAAGTTTAGATTATTTTGAAAAACTGCTTCACAATAATTTAAACTACTTTTTTTTCTTTTTGATTTATTTACTGTAAGTGGAGAAAATAATAAATTCACTGTCCTTTAGGTTTTTGAAGTTTCTCAGCTTTATCACGAGTTTCAGATGATTACAGTTCAAGAAAGTCTGGTATTCAGCCACTGATGGAGATAAGCTGTGCTTCATCTCACCACCTGTTTCTGTGAACAATCCTTCATTCATGTTTGATTTTCTCTCTCGCTCTAAATACAAAGACTAAAAGTTCACAACCAAAGCAGCCGTACTGAGAGCCAAGCTGTTCTTTCATAAGAACTTGAGTAGTTTGCTTTTCAGGTTGATCCATTCAGATCTACCATGTTTGTTTCGCTATTTCTTGTGGCTCTCTGCCTCTGCTTCCTTCTTCTTCAACTTAAACCTTGGAGACCTAAGAATTTCCCTCCGGGACCCCTCAGTCTGCCTATATTTGGAAGCCTTTTGTTTTTGAATTTAGAGAATCCTTTGAAGGACTTTGAGAGGGTAAGAAAAGAATCCATATGTTATTCATTCTATTGTTTTTGAAGGTTAAAAAAATCTATTTCAACTAATTGGGCTCTTAGGACTCAGAATTTGACCTGGACTCCAGACTAATGAGCAATAATATAATTTATTAAGGAGTGAAAGTAAGCTAGTAGGTCTGGATTAACTGAGGAAATGATTATGCTGATATGCTGAGCTGTGAAAAGAGGGAATGCACAGCGGGCGCAGCTGAGGAACTACACCTTTACACACAAACGCATGTGAATTTACATCAATGGGATTGTTAAAAAAAATTCTCATAAAAATTTTAATCTTTAATTATATTTAGATAGATCTTTTTTATGTAGGTGTTCTTAGTAGGTCTAATAGCATTTGATCAATTCAATGGAATTTTAATAAGTGACAACATCTAAAATCAGTTGGCACCCCTCAATTTCTACTTCTTAATATCACCACTTTTACTTTTTCATAAAAGAAACCACCACTAGAATTCAAATATGAAATGTAATAAGCTCAGGTATAACCAAGAGTAGATTAGTGTGAGGCTGAATACAGAAATCAATTAAGCAAGAAACCCAGTAGAGACAAAGGGAATCCTCTACTCTATAACCACACCTCTGCCACATTTATATCATTAGGAGCTGTTCAGATTGGATATGCGTTTAACTAGCAGATAAAACAGGGCATAAAGCATAACATTTATATCAGAGATGGGAAGTAACAAAGTACAAATACTTCGTTACTGTACTCAAGTAGATTTTTCTGATATTTTTACTTTACTTTACTACTTATTTTTGTGGCGACTTTTTACTTCTACTCCTTACATTTTTACACAAATATCTGTACTTTCTACTCCTTACATTTTAAAAA